TTAATAGTGCATACTATGTTATAGTTATAGCAACTGACGAACAGACAGAAATAAATCGACATAGAATTTTCCCCAAGCGACAAAGAATTTCTATGAAATAAATAGTTTATGGGGCTGACATATTATGCTATATTCTCCGTAAAAAACTTAGAACCTCTATGAACTTTAACCCATTAATAGGTAATGTAAACATACTACTTTCTGAATTACCAGTAGGTTCAAAACCAAGTAATAAGTTATACCCTAAAAATACAAAAGAAAATAACTTTTTTTCCTCCTTATCAAGTATTGTATAACATGAGCATAGAGTATGCGCGTTCGAATATAAAACCGAAAAAAACGAGATTTGGCTTCGGAAACGGAAACCAATAAAGAAAGATCAAAAGTCGGTCGGACCGATTTTATGATTCTCTACACCACTTGGCATATACAGAAAGAGACCAGAAAAAAAGTTATTCGTGAGGGAATTTAAGCGTGATAGTGTAAGATATTTATATTTGGCTGGAAAACCACAAGTGGCTATCGTTAGATCACTCCAGCATTTAAATGTGAATAAATCTTTTGTGTCTCGTACCATCGCTCATTACCGCGATACTGGTAGCGTAGCCCGACGTCAAGGAATTGGACGGAAGAAAACAGCAACATCAGCAGAAATGGTTCGAAAAGTAAAGAAGCGACTTGATCGAAACCCGTGTCGCCGTAACCGAAAAATGGCTTGTGAGCTGAATATATCGTAATATTCCATTCGGCAAATATTGAAAAATGAGCTCAGGGTAAAGCCATTGAAATTCCAAAAAGTGCAAGAACTTACACCGCAACGGAATGAAAAGAGACTCACAAGAGCTAAAGAGTTGCTTCACTTGGCCGAAAGTGGTGAACTGCCGAATTTATTTTTCTCCGATGTGAAACAAAATTATCGTGTTTATTTGCCAAAGAAGTCAGGTGAAAATGTGCACCTTCTGTTGGCCACCAGCATTAGAATAAATGCCGAATATTATCGCGAAAATATTCTGGAGTGTGTATTATAGCCTCGGGCACGAAGACATTTTGGCAACAGACCTTAGAAATTCCAACAGGACTCGCACCCAGCACGCGCCACCCAAGAATGGCTACAAAATTAGGTTCCTCGTTTCATATCCAACGCACAATGGCCACCAAAATCTCCGGATACCAATCCGTTGGACTATTTGTCTCGAGTATATTGGAAAGCAAGGTTGGCACTAAAAGTACAGTTCGCATTTATTACCCGATCCATATGAAATTTTGCACAAATCATTTGTTTGGCTCAAGGACGGACCCTATTGAAATTGGAAATAATCGGTCAAAATTCAGATATAGCTCCCATATATATCTTCGTCCGATTTGCCTTTTATTGTGCACCAAACGTTAATATCAGCCCGAATAGTATGGAATTTTGCACATACAACCAAATTAGGCCTGAAAATAAGTATGCCAAATTTCATCGAAATCGGTTCAGATATAGCTATGGCTCCCATATATATTTTTCATCCGATTTGTTATTTTTGTGCTCCGCAGCCGTAATATGCACTCTGTAATAACTATATTTGGGGAAATATATCAAATACAGTTCAGAAATACATTTGCTAAATTTTATCGAGATCTTTTCAGATTTGGATATAGCTCCCATATATAACTTCGTCCGATTTACCTTTTATTGTGCATCAAACGTCCAACTGGGATGGAATTTGGCACATACGACCGAATTGAGTCTAGAAGGTAGTATGCAAAATTTGGTGAAGATCGGTTCAGATATAGCTATAGCTCCCATATATGTTGTTCACCCGATTTGTTATATATGTTACCCACAACCGTAATATGCACTCCGTGACAGTGTGACCGCTGGAAATTTTCAAAAAGTGCCACAAAAAGTATCATTTCTTGAAAAAAGTGGCACATATCATTTTAAATGGTGGCACAGAAAGTGGCATAATTTATTTCACATTTTATTTAAAAAATAACAGTTTAGAACAAAACAACAAATTCATCTATATGTAATACTATATAGTAATAATATATGTATGTACATATTGCATATTTAACCAGTAAAGAAAGTCTTAAAGTCGGGCGGGGTCGACTTTATGATACCCTACACCACTTTGCAAATTTAGTAGCGCTCCGCATAACAGTTAAAAGTGTTTATGGGAGAACACAATCATACACGCTACGATTATAATTATAATTTAAAGTTCAAAGGTCTAAATATGCCGAAGCATTTGTATCTTTTAAATTCGGACTTTTATTGCCCATTTGGTGCACAATTAGTTTGAAATCGGATAAAGATATATATGGGTGCTATATCCAAATCGGAACCGATCTCGACAAAATTTGGCAAAGATATTTCTGAGCTGTATTTGATATATTTCCCTGAATATCGTTGTTACAGAGTGCATATTACGGCTGCGGAGGAGGAGCTATAGCTATATCTGAACCGATTTGGCATACTTATTTTCAGGCTTAATTTGGCTGTATGTGCAAAATTCCATACTATTCGGGCCGATATTACACGTTTGGTGCACAATAAAAGGCAAATCGGACGAAGATATATATGGGAGCTCCAATAGAGTTCGTCCTTGGGCCAAACAAATGATTTGTGCAAAATTTCATCCGGATAGGGTAATAAATGTGAACTGTACTTTGTTTTCAAAAATACATGGACAGACGGACGGACAGACAGGCAGGCAGACGGACGGACATGTATAAATCGACTCAGAATGTGATTCTATGCAGATCATCAAAAGGAACTATGAGTCTATCTAGTTTCCTTTTGCCTGTTACAAACAAATGCACAAAGACATAATACCCTGACCACCTTGTTGTGTAGGGTATAACAAGTAAAAAAGCTGTAAGTTCGGCCGGGCCGAACTTTGAATACCCTCCTCCATATGGTACAAATTTGGCAATTTTCAAAAAACTAAAATCCATTAAAAATTCTGTGAAAATCTTAGAAATACCGAATGTAGCCGGATATTAGGATCTATACGACGACGTGGATCTTCATACGAAATTTTTGTCATAAGCCTGCACAGACAATTTTCTGGCATAGGATGTAGTATCCATTACGAACTTCAAATACAAAATTTAAAATAATTCCGGTAAATAATGCAGCTAAAATCAACAAAATACTGTATATCGGGGGTACCGTAATACGGGGGCTATACGAAGACGTGGACCTGCACGAACAATTTTGTCACAGGCTGTAATATTCATATTCATTACGAACTTCAAATGTGAAAATTGAAACAATTCCGGTAAATAATGTCGCTAGAATCATCAAAATACCGAATATCAGGGGGTACCGTCATATGGGGGCTATACGAAGACGTGGACCTGCACAGACAATTTTCTGTCATAGGCTGTAGTAAAGTAATTAAAATGTCTCTTAACAGTTGTTCCAGAAATAAACAAACAGAACAATGTTGACAACTTTGAGCATGCGAAAACCACTTACAAACACCTAATATAAGAGCGTTCGCTCTGAAATTTGCTATCGCAAATTGGAAATGGCAGCGTACGACGCTTTTCATTGTTTCATTTCATTTCATTGTTTTAAATACAGCGTTTAGATTAAAATATATGTAGTTTAAAAAAGGTGGCACAATGTATAAAAAAGTGGTAATTTAGGATCAAAATAAAAAAGTGGCACAAAGGTATCAAAGCCCAAAAAAGGTGGCAAAATTGATACTTTAGTGGCACAACGGTCACGCTGCTCCGTGACAACAATATTTGGGGAAATATATCAAATACAGCTCAGAAATATCTTTGCCAAATTTTATCGAGATCGGTTCAGATTTGGATATAGTTCCCATATATATTTTTATCCGATTTCAAATTAATTTCGCACCAAATGGGCAATACAAGTCCGAATTTAAAAAATTTACAAATGCTTCGGCATATTTAGTCCTTTGAATTTTAAATTATAATTATAATCATAGCGTGTATGATTGAATTCTCCCATAAAAACTTTTAATTATTAAGTGGAGCTCAACTAAATTAGCAAAGTGGTGTAGGGTATCATAAAATCGGCCCCGTCCGACTTTAGGACTTTCTTTACTGGTTATATGTGGAATTTGTTAAGTGGTCCAATTCTTTATCCGGTTGTCTATATATTTTTGTCTGCGTAATATGCACTCTTCAACAATGATCTTTGGTACCACATATCAGATATAGCTCAGAAATAAGTGCCTAAAATTTTTATCAAGATCGGTTCAGATTTGGATATAGATATAGCTCCTATATATATTTTTACGACCGATTTGAGTTTTTTTTGCACCAAATGGTTAATATCAAACCAATTGGACTGAATTTTGGCACTTCCGACGGAATTCAGCCCAGAAGCAAGTGCTTTAAAGAACACGCTCCTCTCGGAGACCTACTGGTCCACTGTGTTCATCCTAGATCAGAGAATAAAGAAAAAAAAATCAGATTGGTAATAACCATTTTTTAATCCACGAATAGGAAATTATGGCATAGTCTGTAGCCACTTTAATCTGCTCTCACATTGGTAGAATTAATGTTCGACCATAATTGGTGTCATCGCCACTGAACTTAGAAGTCAGCGCCTTTATGCTACGGTGACCTGTGATGATTCCCACCAAAAGCGAATTCATCTACAAAACCATAAACTTCCATGGCTTCATTAAAATATGTATTATCTTCTGCTAGCCCTGTTTGGATTCCTTAACTACATCATTTTCGACTTTTACTTTACTTCGCGAATATAGTAAATATATAAATATATATAGTAATACAAATACATTGCCCAAATCAATAATAATAAATGGTAACATCAACAAAAAAACCACCAAACATAATTTAATTCCGCATTTTCGACCTAATTAATAACGTTTTTTTGCTTGCTCACACATCTTCGAGTTGGTGCTGTTAAGTTTAACCCACTTTCAAAAAAGTTGCAATCTTAACACTTTCCTAGTTTTGAATTGTATAAAACCAACGAACGGCAGCAATGAGTATTCAGTTTCATTTGGAAATTTAAAAATTAAAGATATCAACGCGAATCCAAAAAATACAATCAACTTCATCATGAAATCGTTTGTTATCGTTGCAATTGTTTTGGCCAGCTTGGCAGCTGCAATTCGTGCCGATGAAAATCCCGTTCGCGAAGAAAGATCGTCGGGCCAGAATGCTGGTGTTGGTTCTGGTGTTGGAACAAATTATAATGCTGGTGTGGCCCCCACCTATAATGTACGTGAGGAGAGGTCATCTGGTGCCACTCCCGTAGTTTCATCATACAACGGCGGCAATCCTCTCGGCTCAACATTCAATGGAGCACCCACGGCCACATACAATGTGCGTGATGAACGATCGACTGGTGGAAACTCTGGCGTCACCACTTTCAGTGCTCCTGTTGCTCCCAACTACAATGTGAGAGAAGAACGCTCATCTGGTACCAATGTTGGAGGCAATCTTGCTGGCAATCCTGTTGGAGGTAATTTGGGACTAAACCTGGCTGGTCAGTTGTTGCCCAGCTACAATGTTCGCGAAGAAAGATCCCCAAGTGGTAACTTTGGTTACAATCTACCTCTAGTTCCCCTTGTTCCCTATAACGTGAGACAAGAACGTTCATACGGCGCCGGTCCCTCATCGTCGGCCTATGGCGGTGGAGCTGGCGCTGGTGGTGCAGGTGGTGCTTCGTACGGTGCTTCTGCTGGTCCTCAATTCAGTGCTGCAGCCGCCCCTGCCGCTCCCGCTCCTGTCACAATTCCAGCACCTCCATGCCCCAAGAACTACTTGTTCAGCTGCCAACCTAGTTTGACTCCAGCTCCCTGCGCCCAAGCTGCTGCCTATGGCGGTGCTGGAGCCTATTCTCATAATTATCCTGTGTACGCTGCACCCCAATACAATTACCGTCCATATTATTGAAATGTAAAGTACTTTATGTGAAAAAATCGGATTGAAAATTACCAACATTAATAAAATATTCTAGAGCATTATTTTGTTTGTGTTTTTAATTGTTTGATGGCGTTCGAAGGCTTGCTTTATCTAACATGTTGGTAATAACAAAAAAAAAGGCAGTTGTTTCAAACAGTTCTGTGGGATAAGTTTGAATCGCTTTCTAGTGCTATAGAAAAAATAATATTTTTTATCCATAATTAGGTACTAAAGGTTCATAAGTTAATGTCAGGTTTCTCCCTTTTCTGAATCCGATATATACAAATATTCCGATAAGAAATTTTCGATAAAATCAGGCATTGCCTCCCTTTTGTAGAATGATTATTACAACTTTATTTTTTTGAACATTTGTGGTACTGAAATATGTTTGACCCTTTGTGAGTAAGGAACAAGAAAATGTGAACTAATTAGTCCAGCTTTTCAATTTGGAAAAAATTCTGGCTCATATCGAGAACTTCATTCAAGAGTTATTGTGCATTGTATACAAATACACAGGTGAGGTCTCATAAAATTATTATATCAACAGAGAACATGCTGAAATGGAGCAGGTCTAAATTGAAGTAGACCTTACGTTCACTGGTACATTAAACAGGCCTGGCCTACAGTTGGATGAGCGAGCCTTGGGTAAATTAAAGACAGGTGGGATTAGATTGGGTATTCCCAACATTTATAAAAAATATATATGTTTATACCCTACACCACATAGTGATAAGGGTGGTAAGTCTTTGCGTATTTGTTTGTAACGTTTTTGTAACATGGCGAAGGAAGCGAGATAGACCCATAGTTACTCTTGAGGATCTTCATAGAATCACATTCTGAGTCGATTTATGCATGTCAATCTGTCCGTCCATGTATTCTTGTGAACAAACTGCAGGTTGCATTTATCACACGATTGAGATGAAGTTTTGCAAAACAATATTTTTTTGGCCCAAGGGCGAACCCTATTGAAATTGGTGATGATCGGATCAGATTTAGATATAACTCCCATATACCTTCAACCGATTTCGGGTTAATTGTGCACCAAATGGCTAACATAAGTCCAAATGACCTGTATTTTGGTACATCCCAACGAATTCAGTGTAGAAGCAAGTAATCGAAGCAAATAAATTCATATATAGCTATAGCTCAAATATATATGTTTCATCCGATTTGGGGTTTTAAGTCCCTCAAATGCGTAATATGCACTCCAGAAGAATGATATTTGGTACCGGACATCAAATACTGCTCGAAAATATCTCTGCCAAATTTTAACGGGATCGGGTTAGCTTAGGATATAGTTCGCATATGTATCAAACTTTGTCAAGATCGGTTCAGATTTGGATATAGCTACAATGTATATCTTCAACCGATTTCGGGTTAATTGTGCACCAAATGGCCAATATCTGTCAAAAAGTCCTGAATTCATGCATCCGGCTGAGTTGAGTATAGAAGCAAGTAAATCAAATTTGGAGAAAATTGGTTCAGACATAGCTGCACCTCCCATATATATATTTCATCCGATTTGGTGTTTAAGTTCTTCACTCATATATCCTTCATTCGATTTCAAGTTTTTTTTGTGCAAATAATGGCGAATATCAGCCCAAATGGAGTGAATTTCGGGACGTAAGTTTCCATTTTGGGCAACTCGGCTCCGATATATATTTTTATACCCTACACCACAAGGTGGTCAGGGTATTATGTCTTTGTGCATTTGTTTGTAACAGGCAAAAGGAAACGAGATAGACCCATAGTTCCTTTCGATGATCTGCATAGAATCATATTCTGAGTCGATTTATGTATGTCCGACCGTCCGTCTGTCCGTCTGTCCATGTATTTTTGTAAACAAAGTACATTTATTGCCCGGTCCAGGTAAAATTTTGCACAGATTATTTGTTTGGCCCAAGGACGAACCCTATTGAAATTGGAGATAATCGGTCAAAATTTAGATATAGCTCCCACATATATCTTCGTCCGATTTACCTTTTATTGTGCATCAAACGTGTAATATCAGCCTGAATTATATGGAATTTTGCATATACACCCAGATTAGACCAGAAAATAAGTATGCCAAATTTGATCGAAATCGCTTCAGATATAGCTATAGCTCCCATACATATTGTTCATCCGATTTGTTATTTTTGTCCTCCGTAACAACAATATTTGGGGAAATATATCAAATACAGCTCAGAAATACCTTTGCTAAATTTTATCGATATCGGTTCAAATTTGGATATAGCTCCCATATATAACTTCATCCGATTTGTTATATTTGTTACCCACATCCGTAATATGCACTCCGTAACAACGATATTCCGGGAAATATATTAAATACAGCTCGGAAATATCTTTGCCAAATTTTATCGAGATCGTTTCAGATTTGGATATAGCTCCCATATATATCTTTATCCGATTTCAAATTAATTGTGCACCAAATGGGCAATACAAGTCCGAATTTAAAAGATACAAATGCTTCGCCATATTTAATCCTTTGAACTTTAAATTATAATTATATTCATAGCGTGTATGATTGAATCCTCCCATAAAAACTTTTAATTGTTATGTGGAGCTCTACTAAATTAGCAACGTGGTGTAGGGTATTATAAAATCGCCGCGCCCGAATTTTAGACTTTCTTTAATGGTTTTTTTTATATAATCCTTCTCCAACTATAAATGCTCTAAAGGCAAATGTTGATAGGTGGTATGATCTACTTGAAATAAATTATTTTGTTACGGTAGCTCTACTAAATATGCATAGTGGTGTAGAGCATCATATAGTCGGCACCGCCCGACTTTTGACTTTTCCTTACTGTTTTTTTTCGCTCGGGTACTTCCCAAAGCGACATTCCAGCCTTTGATTTAATCTTGAACACATTTTATGACAATTGTGACCTATTTGTAGAGAGGGGATAAACGAATGTCCATTGACGCACCAGACCTACTTAAGTTACAAACATTACGATTTGCCTAATTTGGACGATTTTAAAGTAATCTGGAACTTTGGTGGATGGTCATCGGTTGTCGACGGGTTGAATGATACCAGGAATCACGATGTTGTTGTTTCGATTAGTGTCGACTTTTGGGATGATGACGATTTTAAATTAATTGTGAACTTTGATGAATCGTCGTCGGATAATGAAGAGTGAGGGAAACCAGGAATTACGGTGTCAATGGTCGGATTGATGTCGGCCTCTAGGAATTCGTGGTACAATAGTTCGGTTTCTGTAGTTCACTGTAGAGATATTTCGTAGAAGATGTACAGCTCTTAGATGGATATGGAACTCGTTGTATAATCGTTCAGGTTCGGCGGTAGCTCCTTGGAACAACTAGACGACCACCCATCTATTTCTCTCTCTCTCCATGTCTAAATTAATTACCGTTCCCTCAAATTATTGAGGGCCAGTTCAAAAGGTAATCCGTTAGTCGGAGGACAGAGAATGTTCCAAATAATCACTAACTACTCTTAGACAAGCCTCCCTGGCAGTAGTAAGCCTTTCTCGTTCTAAACCAAAGTGAACAGTATACATGACAGGCATCACCGAGTCAACGAGCAGACTGTGAAAAGCTGTTGTCGTTTATTGATGCTGCCTTTTTTGCTATCAACACACGTTTTTGAGAGGGCTGCAAACCAATTGTCGATTTAAGTTGGTTCGGTTCAATGGTTCGAGCGTATGCAGGTCCTCGCCTACGTATAGCCCCCCATATAACGGATTCCATTAAAAAATCGGCTAGGTTAAAAATTTTTTTAGACAATGGATTGGTCCACAGTTCGGGTCATTTATAGAAAAAACTGTTCCGTTTAAAACTGGTTCAGAACCGGGTTGCAGCCCTGGTTATTTGCTTTTGCCGTTGTTTTTATACACTTCACCTTGAAAAGGAAGGTGTATTGACTTTTGTAACATCCCCAAATATTGTCGTAGACCCATAACACCCCATAACAAGCATAACATTCTAAATCGATTTAACGATAACCGTCTGTCTGTTGAAATCACTTCACAGCCGCCACCATTTAACGTAGAGCTTCAAAATTTGGCACAACAATTTGTAGGATGATTGGCATTGAAAATGAGATACATCGGTTCAGGTTTTAATATAACCGCTCTATAACGGTACCTCTCGATATTCGGTATTTTGATGATTTTTGGCACATTTTCCACGCATTTGCCTAAAAATTGGTATTTGTGGTTCATAATGGGTTCTAGCCGCGGTGGTAGAAAATTGAATATCTAAATCTACGTTTTCCCATAGCGCTCATATAACGGTACCCACGGATATTCGGTATTTTGATAATCCTAGTAACATTTACCCACGAAATTGTTTCAAATTTGGTATTTACGAACATTTGGTAGATAATAATACTTGAAGTATAAAATTGTGTATATAGGTTCCCGTTTTGGTATGGCCCCCATACAACGGCCTCATCTTGTTTTTTGAAAAGTTTGAGTGGATTATCCAAGCGGTCTTACTGGTATCTGTAGTTTAAAATGCAACACGTTTAAATTCTGATACTTTTTTTTATAATATCTTTTACCCGATGTTAACAAGGAACAAATATTTACTTACCCTGCTTCCGATTTATAAAGCCTTTATTAATTTCATATATACAATTTTGTACAGTATTAAGTACTTTGGACTCCACTAAATTTTTATCATCCGATTTCACTTTTCTTCAAGGTCACTCCCTATTATAACCAAAAGAAACTTATTTCCTCGAATTACCATATAAAATAATAGTTACAAATTCTTGACCTCCTAACACGATTAACAACAGCCAAGCAATGACCGACATTTAAAGTATGTCACATTAACTTCTTTGCCAATTTCGAAAGAATTGAGATACAATATGACACAAACGAAGTGCATGGTTTGCATTTATGAAAAATAGTATTTAATCAGCGAACCACAAAACAAATCTATTCAGTTTATCATTATCAAGTCAAAGAAAGTGATCATCATTGCCATCATGAAATATTCAATTGCTGTATTCTTGTTGTTTGTGGCCTACGTTACTGGAGATTATGGTAGTGCAGCTGGTGGTGGTGGCGGTGCCGCCCGATATGGTCCCGTAACAATTCCTGCTCCTCCTTGTCCAAAAAATTATTTGTTCAGCTGTCAACCTAGTCTGAGTCCAGCTCCTTGTTCTCCACCTGTTGCTGCTTTTGCTGCTGCTGCCGGTGGTAGTGGCGGTGCCGCCGCTGGAGGTGCTGGTGGGTCTGCTGGTGCATACTCTCAACAATATCCCCTTTATTCTGTACCTCAACCATTTAATGGAATTCAAGTTAATTTAGATGGTTACCGTTACTAAATGTGGCTGTTAAATAAATGATTTATTGTTAATAACAATATGTGCTTTATTTTTTTTTTGTGGTTTCTTATGGATTGTGATTGATTATGGATGGATTAAACACTTTTTGGGGGAAAAACTCCAAATTCTATATCTAAATGTCGACTAATTTTTTTTTTTTTTGTGAGAAGTATTGTTGCTCCTCTGTAACTTACAACTTAAAATTATATCAGTTCAATTCAATATAATCAAAATATATTACCCAATTACAAATAATTTCATAAAAAACAAGTAAGCAAAGGCTACCGTCGAGCGGGGCCGACCGTTGAATACCCTACAACACTATAATAAATGATACAATTTATATAGGCGAGATACTCGAAAGAATTCCACAAGATATTGTTCTCTAATTTTCGAATAATAGCAACTTAAACTAATTTGTTCATTTCCAATTTATTGGCAGATGTTGCACGTAAATAGTCTGCCTAGATCTGGAACCAATATTTCCCAAAGACCTATAATCTCTCAGAAGTGGCAAAAGAATAATATTTATTATTGGTTTTTGACTGAAACGCATCTATATGAGATACAGATATTTGACTATATTCTTCAACGAAATCAGCGTTAACGAAATAGTCAGAAGTGTGTCTTTCCTGCATTTGTGAATTCTCCAAAAAGTCACTGGAATAGACATTTTCGTATTTTGTCTACAAAAGTTGGCAAACTATTTCCCACATTGAATAATTTTGGATGGCCATCCAAAACTGCTTGGCTTTTGCAATGACCGGTAACGCCCATTCAAATGTGCGTAAGGATCAGGCGATAATTACGACCTGCTGACAATTTTGCAGTTTTTTAGTCCATTTAAACCCCTAAATATATGGCGATCATCTCCAAAATGAGTAGGCTTCTGTTCTGATCCTCATCTTATCTCCATGCAAAATTTCGTAAGGATCGGGCCATAAATGCGATCTGTATATGATATCCTAACTACTTAGTTTTGTTAGCTGTAGAAATATTACCAAATGTTTAATTCAAAATGAAAATATGCCAAAAAATATGACAAAATTGAAAAAATATGAGAAAATGTTCAAAGTCAATATTTTCATCTTTAGAGAGATATTTTTATGCGATTTTTTTAGACGTTTTTTCTTTCCTGCCAAGAGGCCATTCTGAATTAATGAGAACTGTCAAAATCAGTTCAGCCGTTCTCAACATATAAGAGATCTTTCAAGCATATCTTCTTTGATAGACATATATATCGCACATATTTTGCTATATATCCGATTTGTTGGATGTTAACATCAATGTAAAGACCAGAAATATCCTTGTCATGGCTTTCTGATTTCGCCGGGGCTTAAAATATTCGCGGTTTATTGAAAAATTAAGAATTTTTTCAACACAAAATATATGGTCTATTTTACCCGCTAAATATTATCCGATGACCACCCAAATTTGTAGGTTCTTCCCCGCCCTAAACTCTAGCTACATGCGAAAATCGGCGTCGATTGGTCTATAATTGCGACCTGTATAGCTACTGCAAAATCCGACATTTTTTCAGTATTTGGTCCATTTCAACCCCTAAACATTTGACGATCATCTCCAAAAGAAATAGGGTTCTATTCTGACCCACCATCGTGCAAAATTTCGTAAGGATCGGGCCATAATTGCGACCTGTAGAGTGATTACAAATTAACATGGACAGACGGACAGACGAACAGACGGACGGACATACATAGCTAGATCGACTCAGCTCGGCGAGCTAGGAAGATCCATATATACTTTCCTATATGGGAAACCAATATTTCGAGGTGTTACATAAATTCTGGCCCAATCAAACTTATAATACCCCCAACACATAGTGTTGTAGGGTATAAAAATTACAAAAACCAGCATAATATCCTAATGCTGTACCAAACGTGAAGGCAACTTAGATGTTTAATAGAAAATTCAAAACTTAAGTAACAGTTTTGGACTTAAAATATAAATTTTTGTACAATTAAGTAAAAAACGATGTCAAGATCCATTGAGATGCCGTGACCTGGGACTTTACGTGCAACTATATTAGAAACAATTTCCAATACCAATAATCTGACAATTAAATCACTGTGAGGTAATATGTAATATAAAAGTGTACTTAAATAACTGAGTGAAAGAGTCAATGTCCAAACAAAACGGCCTAAGCTAGAATCTTAAAATTTTGACGAGGACGAGGAAATTGAATACTGTATCAGACAAACGCAATGAGCAGGAAATTTGGAATGACAGAAATGACTGATGGAGTGCAGGATATATCTACCAAAGGGTTTTTGGAAATTCGAAATTTAAGGTTACGGAAAGTTCTAAAATGGTGCTAAACTTCTGAAATGGTACCATTTGATATTATGACAAGTTAAAAAGTATCTGTCGGTTTTGCCGACAGTTGTATTGCCGACAGATGTAATTGCATTAGCAAAAATGTTAATATGTGTGAAATTTGAAAAGTGTTGATTGCATATTTCGCCTTTTTGATCGTTGTGTTTTTCAAAATCTTGAACCTTATGTGGGGCAGGTATAAAAAGAAATGGTCCGATCTCTACCACCATTATAACAGATCTTGTGTTGATGGAAATATTTGGATGTACCGAGTCTTGAACGGATGTCAATTTCGCATTTTATGAGCTTCATGGATATTCAAAATTTTGGCCCTCTGTCGGAGAGGTGCCGGAAGGAGTTGGCTGATATATCCCATCTTCACAGCAGGTCTTGTGTTAGTAGAAATGATGGGATGTGTGAAATATGAAGCGAACCGAATGCTTATTTCGTGTTTTATGACTTTCATGGGTATTCAAAATGTTGACCCTATGTAGGGCAGGTAACAGAAGGAATGGTCCAATTTCTACCGTTTTTATACCCTTCACCACATAGTGGTAAGGGTATGATGTATTTTTGTATTTGTTTGTAACATGGAGAAGGAAGCGATATATACCCATAGTTACTTTTGACTTTGTCAGTCCGTCTGTCCGTCCGTCCGTCTGTCATGTATTCTTGTGAACAAAATGCAGGTCGCATTTATTATCCGGTTAAGATGAAATTTTGCACAAATTATTTGTTTAGCCCAAGGACAAACCCTATTGAAATTGGAGATGATCGGTAAAAATTTAGATATAGGTCACATATATATCTTCGTCCGATTTGCTTTTTATTGTGCACCAAACGTGTAATATCAGCCCGAATAGTATGAAATTTTTACAACCAAATTAGGCCTGAAAAAAAAGTATGCCAAATTTGATCGAAATCGATTCAGATATAGGTATAGCTCCCACATATACTGTTCATCCCATTTGTTATTTTTGTCCTCCGCAGCCGTAATATGCACTCTGTACAACTATATTTGGAGAAATATATTAACTGCAGCTCAGAAATACGTATGCCAAATTTGATCGAAATCGGTTCAGATTTGGATAAAGCTCCCATATATAACTTCGTCCGATTTACCTTTTATTGTGCACCAAACGTCTAATATTTGCCCAAATGGGATAATATTTGGCACTTACGACCGAATTGAGTCAAGAAGGTAGTATGCCAAATTTGGTGAAGATCGGTTCAGATATACCTATAGCTCATATTGTTCATCCGATTTGTTGTATTTGTTACCCACAGCCGTAATATGCACTCCGTAACAAAGATATTCAGGGAAATATATCAAATACAGCTCAGAAATATCTTTGACAAATTCTATCGAGATCGGTTCAGATTTGGGTATATCTCCCATATATCTTATATCTTGATCTGATTTCAAATTAATTTTGCACCAAATGGGCAATACAAGTCCGAATTTAAAAGATACAAATGCTTCGGCATATTTAGTCGTTTGAACTTTAAGTTATAATTATAATAATAATTGTTATGTGAAGCTCTAATAAATTAGCAAAGTGGTGTAGGGTATCATAAAGTCGGCCCTACCCGACTTTTTCTTTACTGGTTATAACAGATCCTGTGTTGATAGAAATATTCTGATGTCCCAAGTCTAAATGGAATCCGATGTTAATTTCGCGTTTTATGAGCTATATATATATATATATATATATATATATATATATCTCTTTGGACAAAAACCGTTTCAAGATATTTGGAGTCTATCTAAGATTGTCCGTCCGTCCGTCCGTCGTCTGCCTGGCTGGTTTACACGATAACTCTCGAAGGGAGTATTCGATTTGGTACATCGTAATATTACTGCCAAACTTTGATCGAATTAAGAGATGGGCATACATTAATCCACTCCTTATGGTACCTCCCATACAAAGGTCAAAATTTTTAAAGAAAATAAAAAATCATTCAATTTGCAAATTCAGGTGCGAAAATGGACAATAATTGGATAATATTTCTACTAAAACAATATCTGATGTGAAGATGTAATATATAGGACCACTCGTTCTAGTGCCTCCCTCACAAACTCTCATAAAAGCTTCCAAGCTTCACACAATCCTATGTTTCCACTAAAACATCCGGCATATCTATTACAAGCGCATTTAAAAGAGGTAAACGCGTCTTATCGTTTAGATATCGATCCCGTATTAATACATTATCTACCTACAGTTGTAAAATAATAAGTCAATAACATATTTATGTTTAACATTGCCTTTATTCATATCACTGTTCGTTTCCTTTGCTTTCATATTTAGTTTTGATCATCATAATTCTGATAATTGACGTTATATGGAGGAAGAGCATAATTGAAGTAATTATCCGAATGGGATCCAGCTCCGCCATAAGCAGCTCCGCCATGAGCAGCATGGGCACATGGGGCTGGTCTCAGCTGAGGTTGGCAGGAGAAAATGTAATTTTTAGGACAAGGTGGAACAGGAATAGTAACTGGAGCTGGTGCTGGAACGGGAGCAGGAGCAGCAACTGGCGCCGGAGCTGAGGCCGGACCCGCATTTGAAGCTTTCGATGCAACGGCACTTGGGGCATGACTGTGAGAATGACCGCCATATGCAGCAGCTGGGACTTGGGACGAAGCGGCGGCACCACCATAAGCAGCGGCAAAGGCAGCATGAGCAGGACCATATGCACCAGATCTACCATCACCTTGAGCTGCATGAGCTGGACCATAGGCACCAGCTCCACTACCACCAGGAGCAGCATGAGCTGGACCATAAGCACCAGCAGAGCTACCACCCGCTGGGCCATGAGCATGTCCGTAGGCACCAGCGCCACCACCACCAGGAGCTGCACCATATGCAGCTACCGGAATGGGACCACACGAGGCAGAACAAGCAGCAATGCAGGAAACTAGAACAACAGCAGCAAATATCGTAACAGAATGCATTTTGATATTGTTTTTGTTTATTATTTTGACAAATGTTTAAAATTATTTAGTTAATTCGATGACTTGCAGTGAGAAACTGAATGATTAGTTCGAAGTGTCTGGCATTAAAATACTCTTTGTGATTCAGTCGTTTTGACATCAATTTTTAGTGCCGACTTTCTTTAATCGCTGTAACTATGATTATCTGGCATTTTGCGAGCGGCGAGCGACATTGACACAAATATTTTAAAGAAATAAAAAGTTATGGATTTTTGTAGGTGACCCATATTTTGTTGGACGAATTTTTAATAATACATTTTTGTTGTAAATTACTAAGAAGAGAGAACAAAGCCAATGAAAAATATTTTTAATCGGAAATGTAAGTAGATATAGGTCAGTTTCTAAAGTAAAATTTTCAACCTTTGTAGGAGGAACAAAAAAATTATGCGAATTGATAGGATTTAGTAACAAGAGCAGTGGATTTAATCTTCCAATTCCATTGCATATACGTCAAATTATTCCTTAATATCAATTGTCCGATACTCCTCCACCTAGAAAAGGAGTGTAGATTAATTTTGTCATTTATATCACAACATCCCCAAATAATCGTCGTAGACCCCATAAAGTGTCCGTCTGTCTGTTAAAATCACGATAAAGCCCACATTATTTGACGTAAAACTTCAAAATTTAGGGCAATGGTTTGTATTGTGTCTAGTATGATAGTTATTAGAAATGATATATGGGTCCACGTTTTGGTATAGCCGTCATATAGAGGTACCTTCCCATATTCGGTATTTTGATGATTTTCGCCAGTTTTTTCCACAGATTTGTCTAAAAAATGGTATTTATAGTTCATAATGGATTATAGCTCCGGTAGCGGAACATTGCATACATTTGTCCCCGTTTTCGTATAGCCCCCATATAACGATACCTCACGATATTCGGTATTTTGATAATACTAGTCACATTTAGCAACGAAATTGTTTCATATTTGGTATTTTAGACTCGCAATAGATATAGGCCCCACTTAACGGCCTCACTCACTTTATGGTTTTTATACCCTCAGTCATATGGCTAGAGAAGGTATTTATCATTTGATACGGCCACAACGTGCCTAGTCGAAATAACGGCATTAGACCCTAGGTCTATTGTACCAAATCCATTTCAGAACATTTGGAGTCGATCTAGCGATGTCCGTCCGTCTGTCTGTCTGGCTGGTGTGAACGATAACTCTCCCCTCCACATCCAAAAAATGTCAACATTTTCAAAGAAAATAATTTACTGCACAGACAGAGAAAGGATAATCTGTTTTTGCTTCAACTTTGCACACCCTAGTATTTGCAACAGTACTAGGCCAGGTGCAAAAATGGACAATATCGGTCCACTCCATCAAACGGTCAAATTTTGGAATAATTATAACTCTTATTAAATGTGATGGAAGTGTCCGTCTTGAAATTACACACATCACAATATTTTTATTAACACAATAGTATCCGTGAAGATGGAATATATCGGTATCCGTGAAGATGGAATATACCTCCCCCACCAAGGGTCAACATTTTGAATACCTAGGAAGCTCATAAAACGCGAAATTAACATCCAATTCTTTTCGGACATGGCACATCTCAATATTTCCATTAACACAAGAGCGGTTATAAAGATGGTAGGGATCGCACCATTCCTTCTGGTACCTCCCCACAAAGGGTCGAAGTTTTGAATAACCAAAACGATTATAAAATCCGAAATAAACAACTGGGTTTCTTCAAATAATACACATCACAATATTTTTATTAACATAAGTTCTGAGGTGAAGATGAAAAATATCGGTTTATACCTTCGGGTACCTCCCCCACAACGTCTCAAAATGTTTGATATCCATGAAGCTCATAAAACGCGAAATTAACAACATAAATTGTACAAAATATAGTACTATTTCGAACTTTTTCATACATTTGTAGTACACATTTCCAAAACTACTTCTTTATCACCAACCTACCACCGAAAGGGCCTCTAATACAAAATTTCAAAATTCCAGCTTCATCCTTTTAAATTAAATACCATTTAAAGCAGTTCGCAGACTTAGTACAGATTTCCAGAACTACCCTCATATATCAAACTTACTTTTCAACCTCGATTCTCGTACCAAATCTCAAGTTTTTTATCAATCTGTTTAAATAATACCAAATGGTAAAATTTTAGAAGTTCAGAACAATTGTGGAACTTTTCGTAACCTTAAAGTTCGAATTTCCAAAACATCCATTCCACTCTCCATCAGTGACTCTCATTCCAAATTTCAGAATTATTGCTCATACCCTTTGTCAAATACAAAGTACGAACGCTTTGTAGTACAAATACCCAAAAAAACAGTACAGACAGTCTAAACGTTGAGAGGGGCCGACTATATGGCTTTATAGCAGTTATAGTTTGGTTTCAGAGGGAACTAATATATGGGAGACATATTCAATCCCGAATCGATTTACAATAAATTTGACAGATACATTATAATATGTTATGCCAAATAACATTGCTATAGAGTGCATGATATCACTTCGAGAAGGATTATATTTAAACAAGTAAAAAAGCGGTAAGTTCGCCCGGGCCGAACTTTGAATACCCTCCACCATTTGGAACGAATTAGAAAATTTTCAAAAAAAATATAATCCATTAAAAATTCTTTTAAAATCTTTAAAATATCTAATATAGGAAGGTGCCAATATGGGGGGATATACGATATTGTGGACCTATAAAGACAAATATATGTCTGAGTGTAAAGTACTCACAAGGAACTCCTTGTGTGGATTTTCAGATAATTCCATTGGAAAAAGTGGCTAAAATCATCAAAATACCGAATATAGGGGAGTACCGTTATATAGACAATTCCGTTTCAGGGGTAAAGTGCTCACAAAGAACTCCGTGTGTGGATTTTCAGACAATACGATTGGTAAATGTGGCTAAAATCATCAAAATACCGAATATCGCGGGGTATCGTTATATGGGAGCTATACGTTATCGTTAACCTATATAGAGAATTATCTGTCGGGGGGTAAAGTGCTCACAAAGAACCCCTTGTGTACAAAGAACCCCTTGTGACCATTCCGTTGAAAAATATGGCTAAAAACATCAAAATACCGAATATCGGGGGTACCGTTATATGGGGGATATACGATATCGTGGACCTGTATAGACAATTCTCTCTCAGGGGGTAAAGTACTCACAAGGAACTACTTGTGTGGATTTTAAGACAATTCCATTGAAAAGTGTGGCTAACATCGTCAAATATCGGGGGTACAGTTATATGGGGGATATACGATATCGTGGACCTATATAGACAATCCTTTTTGAGGGAATAAAATGCCCACAAGGGACTCCTTTTGTGGAATTTCAGACAATTCCATTGAAAAATGTGAATAAAATAGTCAAAATACCAAATATCGGGGGTACCGTTATATGGGCGCTGTACGATATCCTGGACCTATATAGATAATTCTCTGCCGAGGTATAAAGTACCCACAAGGAACTTCTTGTGTGGATTTTCAGACGATTCCGATGAAAAATGTGGGTAAAATCATCAAAATACCGAATATCGGGGAGAACCGTTTTATGGGGGCTATACGATATCGTGGACCGATATAGCCCATCTTCGAACTTGACCTGCCTGCAGAAAAAAGAGAGATCTGTGCAAACTTTTAGCTTCCTATCTTAATTCGTTTAGACTGTAGCGTGATTACAACAGACGGACGGATCGTCTTAGAATTTTACGCTGATCAAGAATATATATACTTTGTTGGGTCTAAAATGATTATTTCGATGAGTTACAAACGGAATGACGAACTTAATATGCCCTCCATACTCTTTTTGGTAGAGGGTATAAAAAATGTATATCGGAGCCGAGTTCCATAAAATGAAAACCTACGTCCTCCGCTCCATTTGCGATTATATGAGCCATTATTTACGCAATAAACCTTAACTCGGATTAAGGAAATATGTATAGGAGCTATATTCAAATCATAGCCGATCTCTATAAAATTTGGCAAAAGTATTTCCGAGCTCTATAAGATATCTGGTACCAAATATCATTGTTGTCAAATTCATATTAGGAATGTGAGGAACTTAAACATCAAATCGGAAGAAACATATATATGGGAGCTATAGCAATATCTAAGCCGATTTTCATACACTAACCTCTACATTGAATTCGTTCGGATGTACAAAAATGTATATCCTTTGGACGGATATAGACCATTTGGTGCACAATTAACCCGAAAGATATATATTGAACATGTATCCAAATCTGAACCGATCTTGAATAAATTTTATAATTTTTGTGGGGTGCAATTACGAATGTGGGGGCTTAAACACCAAACACGGATGAAACGTATGTATGGGAGCTATAGCTATATCTTAACCGATTTTCTCCGAATTTGACGTATTTGCTTCTAGACTGAATTTGGTCCAATGTGTTAAAATTCAGGGCATTTTGACTGATATTGGCCATTAAGTGCACAATTATGTTACAAACTAAGAAATGCACAAAGACATAATACCCTTACCACTATGTGATGTAGGTTATAAATATAACAAATCGAATGAACAATATATGGGAGCTATAGCTACATCTGAACCGATTTTCACCAAATTTGACCGATTACCAATTTAAAAAGGGTTCGTCCTTGGGTCAAACAAATAACTTGTGCAAAATTTCATCTGGATCGGGCAATAAAAGCGACCTGTACTTTGTTTACAAAAATACACGGACAGACAAACGGACGGAGATGCATAAATCGACTCAGAATGTGATTCTATGCAGATCATCAAAAGGAACTATGGGTCTATCTCGTTTCCTTTTGCCTGTTACAAACAAATGCACAAATATATTATGCCTTGACAACCTTGTAGTGTAGGGCATAAATAGGTAAAAATCCATATTGTTTTGAAAAATTATTTCATAGAGTAAATAAAGGATGTTTAGTCTGTATTTTTAGTACGGAACCTCAGCCAAATGGGTCCATTATTTTGGCTCAGAATTGGTAATGCAGCTGGCGTAAGAATTGCCGAAGTTCTTGGGCCATGAT